TGCATGTGATCTTTTGCTAAACTAGACAATCTAGCTTCTAAATTTGTTGCACTGACCTTATCTTCGGTTGGGACCGCTCTCGTTTCTTTCCGTACAAGCAAGCACAATTAATTTGCAATTTTAAGTTTTAGTACTGAAAACTTTAGATCCTCTTTTAGAAACCAAATTATTTGTAAAAATTGATATGTGGAGCGCTCATTTTTGTGTTTAAATAGCGCAAATTCCTTGAAAGGGGTGAACTGTTTTCTTTCTTCCATTGCGAACATCACAGGAAAACATATTGCAGAAATTCGTAACTCTTCGATTATTTTTAACGTGACTTTTGGTAAGTATTTCTTAGTACTGCATGCACTAATATGCATTAGCTGATAAAATTTTGCTATGTACGGTACTACAAAATTTACAGTAAACTCCAACACCCGTTTGTAAACTCCATGCACTCAGCCGAGCCCCGTGTGTATTCAAAAGGTCACCCGTGCACACAGCCGTAATGTAAAATTAAAGTGACAATGTTCAGGATATAAGCGGTCTGGCGGAGAAAAAGACACATAATCGAACTGCTTTACAAGCTTGCGCTTTGAAAACTACTGCGCATCAGTTGCGTAATTATTAGCGTTTGACATGTTTTTCAAAGTATCTCGATGCCTAACGTGATTTTGTTTAAAGCTCCTACGGTTTACAGTTATTGAAACGCCGTTGTTTATGACATTTTGTATCCCGTAAAAGGATGCATGTTATGTTTTAACTTAGAAGGTTTGCAAAACGCACTATAGAGGGGTGATCAAAACTGCCTGCGTACAAAAGGCAAAGTAATTTGTCTCGCTCAGAAAAACAATTGCGCTAAAATATAATCGTTCCGGCCGAATTTTATTAATCAAAATCAATCAGTGGGAAAGCAATATATGGCCGAAAACCAGCCATATAAACCATATTAGCCGATTTTAAAAGGTGTTACATTTATTCAGGGTAAATCCCGTGAATGTTCAGCACACAAAATTTCAGAAATACACTGGCGACATTGGCAAATTAAAAAAGTATGAACGAACATACGCCGGATACAATAACGTAAATAAACGATAGGGCGGGCGGTTGCCAACAGCATGTTGCTTAGATGGAATCCTGTTCAAAACGTTCCACGAACTGGGTGTTGCCTGAAATTAATTCGCATGTTAAACCGCACGCAAGTTCTTAAAAACGTTTTGCAAATTAGATAATAGTCCAGAGCAGCTGTTACACTGCATCTTGATCAGCTAGTAAAATGCTTCAAAATGAATGGTAATAAAATAAGTCATTGTTTAACACTAACAAAAGCAAAAAAAAATGCATTTCCTTTGGCTCTCACCTTTTTACGACGACTAAGGATTGCCGCGACGCCCATGCAGACAACTGCTCCCGTCACGCTTCCAATGCTAAGGTACACTATATAAATCGTAGTGGAGCGGTTATCTTCTGGCAAAAAAGTTGGTGCGATAAAGGTCGTGGTCCCTTTTGTCGAGTTCTCTGGCACGCTTTTCTGGGGGATAACCGTGGACTGTGTTGCTGGCACACTGTTGTCTGTAGTAGAGACTTCCGCAGGGATTGAGTAAAAAGTATCCTTCACGACTCCTTGGGATCCAGATCCGCTTTCGTATGCACTGTTGGCAATCGCTCCTGAGACCGCACCAATTACTGCACTGCCGATAGCAACTCCAGCTCCAGCCTTCAAAGCTTGTCCGAGCATAGGGACGTTGGTCGCAAAAATCTTTTTAAACCGACATACTATCGGCTTTCTCTGCCGTCCTGCCAGGTTCTTGCCCACGTTGTTCAGTAAAGGACTTCCGGGCCCGGCTGGCTGGGGTACAGGGCGAAAGGGGTTCCGTAACTGAGGAAATTTTGGCATTCTCCAACCCATCGGCATTCCAAAACCACATGCACTGGAGATAATCCAAGAACTTAACACAGCAGCCATTACGAAGTATTTCAGATCCATTTTTTTCAACACGAAACGTACGACCACCGTGCAACAAAGGTCAAACAGAAAAAGGTCAACTGATTCGCTCTTGTCAAAAAATATCATGAAGGAACAAATAACCTAACGTTACTGTTTATGCTTACATTGTAACCAATCATTAAAAGGCCTCCCGTTAAAAGAGTTCTTAAAATGCAATAAGAAGTACCGATATCAAAAAAACAAGCCAATCCGCGCAAATTCGAGTTTGCGTCATGGTAAATTGATAGTGACTCATAAACTGGTACTACGTATTTTTATACTAGACTCCGGTTTCCGGACCAATAAACGCACCGGAAGTATTACTTGTTTATGGACCAACCATGAAACGGTATTATTTCAATATACGATTGTTACGTTATTATTCATTCTAGCATTACTTCAATTCACTAGTACCAGCTAAACCTAAAAGCCCCATTTATTACATCCATTCCTTTTCGCACCGTGTTTGTAAGAGGCATCCTTTTAGAAATAATATGGTGTATGTTATTAGACAACGTAATATTTTTTGCATACTCCAACATTAATATCTGACTAGTAGACCCCGCGCAGTTTGCGTGGAATAAATAGGCGTGATTGAATACAAAAATAAAATCAAAACTACGAATAGTAAATAGTTTATCATTACTTTTCGTCAGCAGAGCGTAAAACAACATATTTAGACCACCTTCGACTTGGAAACATAAAATTTTTACTCCCTGAAACGTGCCGTCTGATTTTGTTGAGAAAAATGTTGTATTATATCTTTTGGTGCGTTGCAGTCTGCAAAGGCAATTTTAAATTTAATGGAAAGGAAAGCATGCCGTTTATATGTGTGCCTGTGTTATAAAAAAACCTCTTGGACAAAAAATCTCTAAATCATTTTAAAACATAGCTTATTCCGACTTGTCTGTACTGAAAATACTGTACATGCCCTTTTCCCACCGAAAAATTTCCACAGGGCTCAGTGTCTCGTTTATATTGCTACTTCGCAAGCTCCGCTAGCGCCGCAGCTTGGCGTCGCCTGCGCCTTCTATTTAACTGACAAACCCTATTTCAGTTTTCTAAAAATCTCGTTGTATTTGGAAAACGACACATTTGCCCATGATTCGCACCACAACTTAGCCACACTTGATATTTTGGTCTACTGCTACCGAGAAACGGCTCCTCGATAATTGTAAACAGTCTGCCGTATCAATCACGAAGTTGTAGGACCCTGCATGCTATTTAAAAATTAAATAAAACCCTAACACAACATGTCGGTGCTTTCTGTTTTCTGAAAAAATTGGTCTGTGTCCACTGTGAACGCAAGCTAAATGCTCAGACTAAAAACGTTTTTTTAATTCGGCATCAGCCGGAGAATATGATCATGCCAGCGCATGGTCAATTCAGTGGGCATAAAAAAATCAGAAGTCATCAGCATGGAATCCGGTGATGGTACGGTTTGCCGCCGCTGCAAGTTGAAATCGAAATCGTGCCGCTGAACCTTTACGACAGCGATTTCTCTGATGTCGTAGTGGTAAAACGGATGCTGCAAGTAAGACAGTGAGCGGAATCTTTTCGTATATGCGCAAAAAGGGACTTGAGGAGAGTTAAATGGTCTTGCAGGTCCAGGCGACCTTACCCATTGCAATCCCGAAGCGCAGGAAGTAAGGTGCATACAGAACTAACAAAAGATATAACAGCAGGAACGGAATGTACGGCTCTCAAATGCTGTACGGCTCTCACCAGTTCGTACTGTTGCACAAAATGGCTGTCCTTTTATGGGTTAAAAAATCTCATGTACTTACATCGGCACCAGAAAAAATTATTGTACTACATATTATCAGAATCTATCGTATATCATATCAATCACAAAAATGCTTATAATAAAAAGGGTGCGAAAAGGGGAGTCCATAATATAGGGGGGTTTTAGGGGTTGTCTGTAAGAGTACCCTTAAATTATACGTGGAAAGAAACAGAATTTTGTCCACAAAATGTCTTGGACTTTCAAGTCGGGTTGCTAATTTGAATTTCAGGCGCTCTTGTTTGATATTTCACCTTCAACATTTTTTCACAAAAAAAATTTGCGATCTTTTTGTGTGTTATTGCATGAAGCAAATTGCACTCTTACTTGAGGTATTTAGATTGTTGAATTGTTTTGTTCTGTACGACAATTTCACATTCGCATTCGGTAATTGTGGACATCATTTATTTTAAATTGATTTACACCACATTATTACCCGACATGGTTTCAATCCCAGAACAAAAAAAGAAAACCAGTAATATGTAAGTTAATAATATATCAATGAATATCAGTGAATAAAAACATGTCAATCAGTATGAACGAACATGAGTCGAATGAAATGCAGGAAGAAAAAATCCACAGCAGACAAATTTTACGCAGATAAAATAAAAGTTAATTGCGTTTGCCAAAAGATGCCAAAACATTTTGAATTGGGCAAGTGCAAATATGACCGTAGTCAACAAACATGTTGCTACTCGCAGGTGACACGTAATTTTAAAGAATTTTCCGGCAAGAATTGCACAGCCGAGTCTGACATTTTGTACGCTCAGGCCAAAAAACCGGATGGGTCACCTGACACTTCATATGGTAAGATTGTTGACACTGCTTGCATTTGTAAACCGGTAAAGGTTTTCCGGCTTCCTCAAATCCCTTGCACTCCGGACAACATGGTGACTTTTTCGGTTTGTGTCGCTTCGGGGCCATACCGTCTGAACTAACTGCCACGTCCAATAATCCGTCAACTTCTTTCGATCCCGCTGGAATCCGTTAAAGAACCGGCTCTAGCCGCACAAAATAATTGGAATTTGATAGGGTAAGAACACCTCAGATTACACACCTGAAGATACCCTAAATGTAGCATTCATTTCGCTGGTTTCCCGCTCTGACTGAATAACGATCGGGAGCCCACGCTTAAACCAGGTGGAGGAGCCTGCAAACAATATTCAAACATTTTTAAATTTTAGTCTCACCGAATTGTACAAAACGTTTTTACCATTTCGTCGTTGCGGTCCGGACTTTTCTCGTCGTCGAGTGTTTCCATACCCTCTTGGATTGCTGGTTCCTGTGGCTGCATTTTTATTAAAATCGTGATTCCGGGCTATTTTTGCTTATAATACTTACTTCAGAAGGCGTTGAACCAGAATCACTAGCAATTGCTGATACATCTGGTAATATTACTTGTCTGGATTGAATATCCTGAAAAGCAATGGTTTTATTCGTACGGTTTCTTCACGTTCGGCTCAAGAATTTATGAGCCATCTCGTGTTTTTTATTGTCGACAATTACCGTTTGCGTTCCTTCATAAAGATTTTCGAGTTGGGTTGACGTGTGAGACGGAATAAACGTTGCCGGCAGTCGGGTTGCCTGAGCGGATTTAAACGGAGATTGGACAGCCTTTTTCCCAGTCGTGCCATGCTCGCTGTAAATAAGTCACGTATTTCACAAGGTGACCAAGGTCGCCAGCAATAAACGCATTCTATTGCTATTTATTGACAACCGCTCTTTATTGCTATCATTTTTGAGTCTACATTAATACCTAGAACGTTATTAACAACAAAGCAGCTGCTGAAAGAACTATGTAATCATAAACCCGTTCAAAGTTAGCGCTAAACCCTTATGCTAGCATCTTACCTACACTTACGTTAGAACAAAACACTGTTTATTTTGTTTATTTAAAAAAATCTATCTCTTCCTAGAAATTTAATTATTTCTAGCATAATTAGGATTTGCTTTGGAAGGATTATATTCCGTAAGTAATTAGCGTTTGCCCCGTTAATTTTACCCATCACTGCTCCCGGAAGTGAACTAGTTCTTGCCGATAAAAATTCTAGCTCTTCGTCCGTAAAATGTGATTTCAGGACACAAATGGCGCGTTGAACTTTGCCAGATATTCCCACGGGATGAGAGTTAACGGTGCCTGGTAATTTTTTCAAATCCGAAAAATCAAATGCACAGCTATCCGCGTGAACATTCATCAGTGGAGTAAAGTCTTGCTCCCTAAAGGCCACATACGGCAGACTGCTGGTAACCGCGAAGCATTTCTTTAACTAAAAAAGCAAACAATTGTGTCTAAAACGAGTCTAGTCAAAGATAGTAATAAACACATTTAAAGGATATTAGTTGAGTTTATGCCGTTTTGTAATCCATACCTCATCAGGAGCTGCTCCCCGAATTTTGTGTATTACTTCACAAATCCTAGCTTGCAAGGCCCTATCAAAAATAGCCAGCGATGGCCCAATTGTGGTTTCGGCAGTGTATTCATAGTAATACTGCGCAACAGGAAGTAGTTGTTGCATTACGAAACCTTCAATTTTAGTTGCCCACACATCCCATCCGCATTTTTTCACAAACTAAAGAAACAACATTAACAGCAACAAAATCTGTATTTTCGGTCATCAGTTAGTCCTACCATTTCTGTTGCTGCCACTAACATAGCATAACCGTCGACAATACGATTATGGCTGTCCGTCAGGATCGGCATTGCCGCTTTTAATTGGATATCGAAGCTCATGCATGCGCTGCATGAGCTCTTCGATATCGTGGTTGGTCAGGTTTAAGATGGCCTCAAAGAACTGCGAAGCTGTTTCTCTCCCGTGTGCAATTTGGCGGAATTCTTCGCGCGTGGCACTTTTGAATTCCACAAGCATCGGTATCACTACTGCTCGGCTCAGTGATGCGAAGCTTAAAAAAGTATTGTACATTATGAAGCGCATATATCTAGATGCTCATGGTGGAACTCACTTTTTGCGAAGCATGGAAATGGTTTTTTCATTACAGGTGAAACAAATTGTTGTCCCAGGAGTCTGATTCGAGTTATGTTTTAGCACTGGTCGCGCTTCGTAGCACTCCATGAGTGCGGTTGCGACGAGGCTTTCGTCTTCAGCGTCATGAACGATTATTGGGAAGTGGTCTTCGGTGTAACGCTCCCGGAGCCTTGTCAACGTCATATCTTTGTAAATGCAGATTTGCTGAGCGTTTGCTCCGCAAAATGATGTCGAAACGTTGGCGTTTAAGCTTTTCCCTGCGTTTCGGGGCCCACACAAAAGGAGTGCTGGAACGTGACCAACGGTTTTCACAAGAAGCCGGTAATGCAAACTGATGATGGAGGTGTGGCCTACAACATCCGATTCGAATTTCAGTTAATCTCGAAACACCACTTCTTCAGTATCAAAGACCTACCGCAGGTTAACAAGAAGTTCAAAAACACATCGGGCATGCCATCTCTTTCCAGCTTTTCTCGAACCACTTCAAGAAGATGGCACGGTTCTGTTCCGGAATAGATTTGCAACGGGATGATATTAGTCAGCTTCGAATAATGCGACACCCAAACGTATTCTGATTGATCCGCGGAAATCCGTTCCACTTTTCCAGCATTTCGTTTGTAATGCAGATTAGGCCCAAAAATATAGGTTTCCCCGTCATCTTGAAGGTTACGGTGTTCTGCCGGAGGCTTATCTGGAGTCAGCTTCCGTTGGGAGCAACGCCTTAAGTAGTAATCGTAGGCAAAATTAAAGTATACCAAGAATAACTTGGTGTGCTGATTAGTTACTTCAGCTGTATACTGTCACGAAAACTGATCCACTGGATCCTAGAGTTATGACCATTTTAAACCACAACCTTTCTGCTAATTTAAGTTCATGATTCCGTAACTCCGATCGTGTAAATAATTCAATATTAAATATATGTTTTTCCTGAACCAGCAAGCAATAAAACCGCATTTAATATTTCGGATTTCGATAAAAAATGAACACTAAACCTTATACCATTTAATTATGCTGACCAAGCTTATTTTCTTACTTGTCGTATTGGGTTCGCTTCCAAACAATATATGAATTAAGCTTGTCCCCATTCAGCGATGGCGCGAGTAACGGCGGCATGCCGGGAGTGCTTTGGATGTCTGACAAAAAACGCTGAACACTTTTGAAGCCGGACGTTGTCAAGTAGCAAGACCTAAACAAATTTTCATAACTCTGAATGCCTTCAAAAAGACGAAATATTTGCGCAACTCAGATTTACCGTTCACAAAACTAGAAAGATCAAGCTAACGTAGCCAACCTCTGTCGTAAAAATTTTTATTTGAACATGATTGCCTTTGTTTATCGCAACTTACCTCCCATTTTGAAGGTTGCAGGTTTTTATTTCACACAACCAACCACTTTCTAGAGATTCCCCTTTGCACACACCTTGAGTAATTCTCAAAGTAAACCCAAGAACAAAGGAAGTCTTTGAGTCATGCTTATCCTTCTCGCCGTAATATGTGCAATGATCTTTTTCATACCAGTCAGTTGTTCCTTTAAAAAAACTTAGCGCCATTTTTTAAACAAATTGAAAGGTTAAGCAGTTAACGGCATCTTCAACTGAAACTCGAGCACAGTTAACCGCTCGCCTTTTCTAGATATGTAAAATGATGTATGCATCAAAAGCTTATAAGTCATGCGATGACCGAAGATATCATATTGCCGGTTGGTTTAATAATGCATATGGAATGCTATCTTGCGTTCACAATTTTCCTGATTCGCTGTTCAGTACAAAATAAAGACGTACGTTGTGAGCTGCAGGCTTGCCTTAGTAACGCAGAAGCTACGTTTTTTCGGCTACTAGAGCGCTATGTTTGAACATTTTGCAGTATATTCTGCAACATGCTTTTGCCCAGTAATGAGATTTGTTGAACGATGAAAATCCTTCTATAAAATCCGTTGAGCGGCAGTTTTAACTGCTTTCAGAAAGCGTTGTTTGTAACACTCCTGTGTAACTTTTTTCTCAATACTCCTAATTAATTATGGCTTCTTTGCATTCACTAATACCTGCACTCAGAGATGTTCCGAAGGAGATGCCTGTTGAAGCAATCGCTTTTGTATGTAGTTCGGTTAATCATACTCAATATTATTTTGCATTGTTATTCTTTTTCTTTAGATGCTGGCGAAAACTTTTAACGTAGATGAAAAATCTGCGTTGGCAGCTTTGAACGAAAAAAACTGCGATGTTACTACCATATTCTGCAACAAAGATTCTGCGCAGTTTGTGCTTTGCCCGCCCTTGTACCAATGCCTAAGCAGATGCGATCCTTTGAGTTTTAAAATAACTCAGGGAACAAAGGTCAGTGCTTCTCAGGTACCTACGTACCTACGGTTTCTACGACAAACTTATTGAACACAAGTTTAATCAAATATGTTTTGGTACCTCAACATATACAAAACTGGTATATCAGACTGAATACCTGTAATGATATTATGTTGGTTTCTGATTCCATTAGGTTATATTGTACTCGATTGACGAACACCCGTCCGCATGCACCCATTTCATATTTTACTGTACAAAATGCGGCAACAGATACTCTTATAACACTTATTACGTGAAATCTTATGGAAATCGGTTTCTTTATCCGGAAGCTCGGCTTTTCCTACAAGTTACGGGAAAAGTGTTCTGGAACAGGAAACTTGTCGATCTCTTGATTAACTCCGTGTAAGATCTCCTCGCTCTGTTATAATTATCAGGCTGTCAGGCTGCAAATTTTTGGTTTTCTAGTCTGCATGGCCACGTAACTTTCGAATCCTTTGCCGAAATCTGCCGCACAACTTTTCGATTCCCGTTCGGTATGAAATTGAACTGAAACATCTGAACTGGAAAACCGTCTTTACTTAAACGGTGTTATTTCAGCGTTCAAGAAAAAAATTGTGTCCAAGGCGTTTTTTGTGAATGAAATTGAACTTGACTTGCGCGAGCGGTGTTTGACTTTTGCTTTTCCTGACACTAAACTGGACATACTGGAGGTCAAACAGTTTCTTGATGGTATCCGACAAAAAGAGTTGTATCCACACAGCTGTTCGGCTACTGGAAAACGTCGTGGATGCCCGTTCCTGGTTGTGTTCGATGGCATTTGGAAGATTGCGCACCGACACTGCGCGATGGTAATGAAGGTAATTTTTTTTTCAAAAAAAAGGAATGAGGAAATAAACTGACACGTTTAGCTCCTAAAGATGTCATTTGTAGAACTCCATCAATATTGCCCATGTCAGGTTGCCTTCCGTTTGTCCAAATGAACCTAAATGCGGGCAACTGTATTGCGACGATCATGCTGATCTAGCAAAAAGCCATAACTTGCCAATAACTCGGAACGGCTAACTTTTGGAAATGGCTGGAGATAGCATTGTGCAGCTTGCTCTGGCTTGTAATCCTGATAATAATCCACCTTTCGGAGAAATTTTCAATGAAACTGATTCACAGACGGCAATTGTGCAGAAAGAAGTGTTGAGTAATGAATTTTATAACGACTCTCCATTGCTAACCGGCCCTCACAAAGGTTGCGGTAATGCCAAGGTCG